CAGAGAAGCAGCACTAGTGATGCCTTCAAGGGTAAGAAAATTCTTCTTACATTTTTCCACATGACCCAGACCTCCTTCCTTTTTGAAAATCAGGCCCTGAATGTCTGCAAGCAAGGCAGCATTAAGGCTTTTGTTTTTGTGAATATGTTATAGATCTGCTCTAGTATGCACTGCATCTCTCTTTATCAGAGCCAAAGGGGAAATAGTACTCTCAGTTCAGTGGCTATCTGAAATTGAGAGCTAGTCGTAAATCCTTTCATTTGGTTGTGGTGCTGAGTTATTTCAGTTTGACTGTTTCCCCGTCACAGCTAATGGAAACCAAATAAGACCAGCCAAGACCTAAAACAAAAGAACACAGTAGCAGGTCAAGGTGAATAGGTGATATTCGTAAGCATGTGTTAAGTCGGTGGTATTCAAACTTTTTTTCTGGGACCCAGCAGAAGAAAATTGTTGATGCCCGCAACCCAACGAAGCTGGGAATGTGGGTTGGGGTGTGGGAGGGGCTCAGGCCTGAGGCAGAAGGTTGGGGAGCAGGCGTGAGGGCTGCGGTGTGGGGCCAGGAATGAGGAGTTCAGGGTGTGGGAGGAGGCTCAGGGCTGGGATAGGGGGTTGGGTGTGGGAGGGGTCATGGCTCTGGGCTGGGGGTGCAGGCTCTGGGGTGGGGCCGGGGATGAGGGTTTGGGGTGCAGGAGGGGCTCCAGGTTTGGGGGGGCCTCAGGGCTGAGGCAGGGGATTGGGGTGTGGGGTTGGAGCACAGACTTACCTCCGGCAGCTCCTGGTCAGTGGCGCAGCTGGGGTGTAGAGGCAGGCTTTCTGCCTGTCCTATCACTGCGGCCCACGCTACACCTGAAGTGGCCAGCAGCAGGTCTGGCTCATAGGAGGAGGCGCACAAGCTCTCGCTCACAGGCAATGGGTTCCTAGTGTGGAGCTGGTTCTCAGGGCAGGGACAGTTCGCGGAGGCCAATGGCCCCCCTGCCTAGAAGCCGGACCAGCTGCTGGCCACTTCTGGGGTGCAGCACGGTGTCGGAACAGGTAGCACTAGCCTGCCTTAGCTGGGCAGTACCGTAGACAGGACTTTCAATGTCCCAGTCAGCGGCGCTAACCAGAGAGACCCAGTGCCTTACATGCCGCGGCCCAGTACTGGGTTGTGACCCGAACTTTGAAAAATGCTGTTTTTATTTTTAGCTCCTGTGCTAAAAATAAAAAACAGCAAATATTAGGTCAGTTATTTGTGCTTACTCAAGTGAAGGGAAGGTAAAATTGGACTAAATGAGGAGGAAATCTGGAACAAACCCAGGTCTTGCTGCGTGTCAGAAAAGGATGGGAATTATTGTACATTTCCCTTGACCTGAAGTTTGCTGTAGGTTTCTTAATTTCACAGTAGCTTTTTGCCACTAAATTTTAACTAGGCCCAAGAGGTTTAGATAAATTCAGAGGATCTTCAGAAAAGAATATGAACTTGTGATGAGTTTATTTGAGGTTTGCCTATTAGTACTCGGTAGTATACTGTATTTTTCTGGGAAATATCTCTGAAAATTGTGGATTCTGCAGAAAACACTTAATGATTAAATCAGTGCAGAATCTGGATATTAATAAATGAAAGATGAAATAAAATCAAGTAACATGGAAACAAGTTATTTTTTTAAAAAATCTGCCATAAGAATTATTTTTTACACTCATTCAACTCTCCATCTTCATCAGCTAAAGATAAAATGACAGGTTAAAAAAAGGCCTTCTATTGTTTACATTTGACACTTACAGCAAGAACAAAAAGAGCAATCAAAGAATCTTCCACAAGATCCATCCATCTGTCACAATGTTTTATAGAATACTGCTGTGACTGCAATATTCTTCATGAAATTTTAAAATAAAATACGTGCAAGAAGATTAAAAAATAGACAAATCCTGTGGTGAGGCACATGAACTATATCACAAATTATAGTTAGAGGTGGACATGAAGAATTTAGTTTGTATCTATATTCAGATTCACACCTTAAATCTGGTTGATGTTCAGATATAGGGGTTTGGTTCAGGCTTATTCCTGGTTATAATGACATTAGGTTAATATGCAGTTCTGGTTGACTTCCCACTTGAAACAATAACATCGGGTTAATGCAGCATGGAAAATGACATCACACATCATTTTGAGACAGTTAAGGAGTGAGAAACCATACTCAGCCAGGCATTTCTTCCATTTTACATGGCAGGGCATTAAAGAAAGAAAAGGAGGTAGGAGAATGAGACCACAGTGCACAAGTTCCAACCGTTCTTTTGTTCTTTGTTTTTTGGGAGAATTTTTTTCCTTCTAAGTTCTGTATTTGTGCAGTAAAATGTGGTTCTATTTTTAGATGTAACCAGTATTAACCAGTTTCATCTGTGAAATGTTCAGGAAGTGAAAGAAAAAGATTAAACGTCCCAAAAGAGAAATAATAGGGCTAAAAATATTCCCATAGGGAGGAGATCCTTATTACTGGAAATTAAATTTGACAGATGTCAGTTTGTCAGCGAGTATTAATTTCTCTTTGATTTTTTTTCTTTTTGCAGAGATGTATTAACTGCTTCGGCAAGACAAATTTCCCTAATGAGGACAGGAATATTAACTGCTTGAGTTTTAAAACCAGACTCCCTTTTCGCACCCACAATTAATTGTTGTCGCAAATTATCACAGTTAGCCATCTAACATCTGGATTTGTGGGTCAGGCATCTAACTACCACCTTTTGCATCCACAATTAAGGGTACATAATTAATTTAAATTTGCTTTCAATATTTTTAACACAAGAACAAACTTTTATAAAACCTACAATCAATAGAAATGCTTCTACACATTAAAAAGAATCCTGGACTATTTTGTTCTTCCTTATTACTTTGCTGTTGATATAAGTTGCTAAGACAAGGATCTACCCTAGTTCTGACCAGAGCAAAGAATTTGGAGAATTTTGCTCCTCTTAAAATGGTTGTGCCCCCTCCCAACCCACATCCATTAATTATTTATACACACAACTGCTGTTCAATTATCACTTTGAAGAAAGACAGAATTGGATGTGATGTAAAGAGTGGATTTCTGCAAATGTGTTGTTCACTGAGAGCAGCTCTTCCTTTGTTTCTTGGAAATTTACTTTGGCAATCCATTGTTATCCTTGTGGGAACATCTTTGTTAATGGTTTCCCCTAAGAAAGGTGTTGAGTTTGGCTCCACCATCTCAAGGCTTGTATACACAAGACAATTATACTGATATAAACTAAGCTATGAATTTAAACTGATATACATATAACGATATACTCCCACGACCTCTGTGAATTCTCTAATCTAAGAAGCCCTTTTTCCAGTATAGCTCATATTGCCTTTGGGACAAGGCTAAAGTTAAACCAAAAGAGCCACTCATGCTTGAACAGGAGTGTCCACATCAGGGTTTACACTGGTATAACTTAGGCTATGTTTACACTTGCGGAGTTTTTACGCGGTCAGTTTCACCTTAGATAGGGACCCGGTAAAAGAAAAGCGCTGGTTTGTGTTCTCACTTACTTCCACAGGCAGATTGTGTTCACATTTGCAGCACTTCCATCGCCGATGAGAACAGTGCATTGAGGGCAGCTATCCCACAGTGCAGCACTCTCCATTTTGAGGATAGGTCTTGTGGGAAGGGGGGGTGTGATCACGGGGCATCCTGGGTCCCTGCACAGCCTCCTCTCCCCAAACACTGATCAGCTCCAGTAGCTCAGCGTTGCTGCAATCAGGGGATCGTTTGCTCTGTGGAACAGGCATTGTCACCTGGCCAGATGATAAGTGAGCACTTGCCAAAAAAACAGGAAGGGGAGTTTCAAAGTTCCCGGGGCTTTACAGGGGGAGGGGTGGATGTCTGTTTACCTGGCATCAGAGCAGCAGAGCCAGCGTGGTCACCTACGCACCTCCAGAGGCTAAAAGCTGTGTAAACAGGAAGAACGTGTCATCACTTGCACATCACCCCAAAAGTATCACTGGTAAGATTTTCCACCTCTCTTGGAGGTGGTTTTCTGTTTGTGGTGAAACTTCTGAGTTTCACCACAAAATGTCATTGGCAAGTGTAGACGGTCCCACAGTTTTTGCGCAAAAAAGGGATATTTTTTTTTACGTTTTAAATGGCAAGTGTAGACATGCCCTAAATTGGTTTAACTACACTAGTATCACTATCCCGGTATAACTGGCAAAACTTTCTTGCGTAGACAAGAATTCAGAGATTGCAGAACTGTTCTGGGAAAATCACCAGGTCTGGAAGGGATTCATTCCCCCCAGAGTTTCACAGAGAGAGAGAGAGTGTTATCCTGTGCAGCAGACTCCATTTTAAATACACTACTCTACCCATGAATTTCAGTAATTGCTAAATTAGTGTAATTGGGTCCCTGGAGATGTTGATCAGGACTAGACGCTCTTAAGGAGGTGGAAAACCATACAGGTGCCTGGAACTGTTTTCCTACCGGTTGTGGAAGAGGTTACCGATGAACCCTCTGACCCTACCTGCTCCCAAGACTCCTGTGGAGCAGTCACCAGGAAGGGAGGAAGGGAAGATTGGTCAAACTATACCAAGAATGAGGGAAGGGACCTAGAAGAATCAAACTTCCTTAAAGAAGAAGCCCAAATAGGCCCCAAGCAAAGCAGAGAGCTCTAACGATCGGTCTCTACTGCAACAGAGGTAAAATATTGGAGAAATGCTGCAGCCTCAGAATCCTTGATAGCCAACCATTAGGTTCCAGAAGGGGGGGTGCAACTGACTGAGGAAGAAGGGGATGGAGAAGGATAGAATAGCAGATCCTGTATTCCACCGGTTAGGAGATGGTAAATGGAATGCCCCTGCAAAAGCCAGATGACATTTTGGAGTGTGCATTTAATATTGAATTTTGAACCTGAAATACTCGCTACACACTTGTAGAGAAGGTGACTTCCCTCTAAAGGTTTAAAAACTTGAAGGCAGATAGAAAAAAATATTATTTTTCTAAAAATCTCATGATTTTAAGCTTCTCATATTTTTTGCAGGGTGTTTGCCTCATGACTTGGAATTGGCCATTCTGTGTCAGGTAAATTTAATTTTTAAAATTATTTCACTTTTAATAATCTAAAGTGTTGTTAGTGACACAGGTAAAGGAATTTGACTTTTCACAGCATTTTAAAGTTGACAGTGTACTTATAATTGCACCAGCAACGCTGCGCCTACAATTATTGGCAAACATGAATGGAATCTGTTTTTAAAAATCAAACCTATACCAGAGGAGTCTTTTTTTTTTAAGAAAGTCATCTTCATCTCTTTATTGTATAACACACTGTGCACTGTGTAAAAAGAAAAGGAGTACTTGTGGCAGCTTAGAGACTAACAAATTTATTTGAGCATAAGCTTTCGTGAGCTACAGCTCACTTCATCGGATGCATCTGTGTGCACTGTGTGAATTTCATTATATCAAACCATGCCAAATTATGTCCCATCATGTGATTTCATGTGTCTTGATGTAACCTGGCACATCATCATTTATCCATTGTGCTGCATGACCAAAACAGTGCTTTGCAAAGGCTTTCAAAAATGAAGTGATAGCAAGTAATTAATTACCATTACAAAATGGCTTTAGAATTCAGAACACACTGGAGCTGTCTGACTGGCAGTCCATGGCAACAGTCTTTGACTGTGACATGAGTACGATGGTTTGTTCCATTTTTCTCTTTGTGTAACTCCCATTTTAAACTATCAGTATGACAGTCCAAGCTGTGTGTTTCAGGATGCATTTCTCAAGGTGTTGAACACAAATCAGCCTCATGCCTCACAGTGCTGCTCCAAAAGTATGGAATGGTCCTGCCAAAATGTACTGTTTACCGTATTTTAGGCAAAGAATAGTACATAACAGAGAATGTGGTTGTTGTGTAATACTTTTATGCTTTGGATCTATATTGAAGCAGAAGGTGTAAAGTAGGAATGTCATTTGCTTAAGTACATAACAAAACCTACCTACAAGGTGAAATCCTCATTCTACTAATATCAATGGCAAAACTCACATTTACTTCATTAGGGTCTGGATTTCATCCATATATCTTTTGTTTCATAACTGTATAGATTGTTACCTCAGTCCTTCACGTACCTAATTGAGAATACCCTTGTAATATATTATCTCTTTTCAATTATGTTGTTACAATTATGCAGCTATTATTTAGTTTCTGTCCACTGGTAGAAGGAGAAACAATTATTTTACCATGATACATGCAGAATAAAAATATAATCGAATCTATAATATTTGCTTTAGTGATAAAATGTTTGGATTATTGTATAAACCTTGAATGAGCAATTTTTTGGAAATATTATTTGGTTTCTTCTACTTTTGCCTAAATGCAAGAGTGAATATTAGAACAGAAGACCTGGACTCAGAGCTTTGGCTCAGCCCTGTACAGTTCAGAAATACATATGAAGTGCTCAGTGTAATCAGGGCTCTGTTACCAGCTACTCCACCTACTTTTAGTTTGACCTTGGACAGTTATTTCATTACACTGTGCCTCATTTACCCATCTGAAAAAGGGGTATAATTCTTCTCTAACTCTTCGATGATGGCTAGGGACACTTGCGAATCGGGTGGGGAGAGGATGCTAAGACAGCATAAAATTCACATTTGCACTGTCTAATTCTGTGCAAATATGTATACGGTTCATTCCTAGACATAAGAATATAAGAACTGCCATACTGGGTCACACCAATGGTCCATCTTGCCCACTATCCTGTCTCTGGTACAAGAGCATGAGGGAGAGTGTACTGAACAGGCTAATTTTGGAGAGTTCCATCCATATATCCAATGCTTTTTTTGCCTCTGTCTTCACTAACAAGGACAGCTCCCAGACTGCTGCACTGGGCATCACAGCATGGGGAGTAGATGGCCAGCCCTCTGTGGAGAAAGAGGTGGTTAGGGACTATTTAGAAAAGCTGGATGTGCACAAGTCCATGGGGCCGGACGAGTTGCATCCGAGAGTGCTAAAGGAATTGGCGGCTGTGATTGCAGAGCCATTGGCCATTATCTTTGAAAACTCGTGGCAAACGGGGGAAGTCCCAGATGACTGGAAAAAGGCTAATGTAGTACCAATCTTTAAAAAAGGGAAGAAGGAGGATCCTGGGAACTACAGGCCAGTCAGCCTCACCTCAGTCCCCGGAAAAATCATGGAATCAATCCTGAAACACTTACATGAGAGAAAAGTGATCAGGAACAGTCAACATGGATTCACCAAGGGAAGGTCATGCCTGACTAATCTAATCGCCTTCTATGATGAGATTACTGGTTCTGTGGATGAAGGGAAAGCAGTGGATGTATTGTTTCTTGACTTTAGCAAAGCTTTTGACACGGTCTCCCACAGTATTCTTGTCAGCAAGTTCAAGAAGTATGGGCTGGATGAATGCACTATAAGGTGGGTAGAAAGTTGGCTAGATTGTCGGGCTCAACGGGTAGTGATCAATGGCTCCATGTCTAGCTGGCAGCCGGTATCAAGTGGAGTGCCCCAGGGGTCAGTCCTGGGGCCAGTTTTGTTCAATATCTTCATAAATGATCTGGAGGATGGTGTGGATTGCACTCTCAGCAAATTTGTGGATGATACTAAACTAGGAGGAGTGGTAGATACTCTGGAGGGCAGGGATAGGATACAGAGGGACCTAGACAAATTGGAGGATTGGGCCAAAAGAAATCTGATGAGGTTCAATAAGGATAAGTGCAGGGTCCTGCACTTAGGATGGAAGAACCCAATGCACCGCTACAGACTAGGGACCAAATGGCTAGGCAGCAGTTGTGCGGAAAAGGACCTAGGGGTGACAGTGGACAAGAAGCTGGATATGAGTCAGCAGTGTGCCCTTGTTGCCAAGAAGGCCAATGGCATTTTGGGGTGTATAAGTAGGGGCATAGTGAGCAGATCGAGGGACGTGATTGTCCCCCTCTATTCGACATTGGTGAGGCCTCACCTGGAGTACTGTGTCCAGTTTTGGGCCCCACACTACAAGAAGGATGTGGATAAATTGGAGAGAGCCCAGCGAAGGGCAACAAAAATGATTAGGGGTCTGGAACACATGAGTTATGAGGAGAGGCTGAGGGAACTGGGATTGTTTAGTCTGCAGAAGAGAAGAATGAGGGGGGATTTGATAGCTGCTTTCAACTACCTGAGAGGTGGTTCCAGAGAGGATGGTTCTAGACTATTCTCAGTGGTAGAAGAGGACAGGACAAGGAGTAATGGTCTCAAGTTGCAGTGGGGGAGCTTTAGGTTGGATATTAGGAAAAACTTTTTCACTAGGAGGGTGGTGAAACACTGGAATGCGTTACCTAGGGAGGTGGTAGAATCTCCTTCCTTAGAAGTTTTTAAGGTCAGGCTTGACAAAGCCCTGGCTGGGATGATTTAATTGGGGATTGGTCCTGCTTTGAGCAGGGGGTTGGACTAGATGACCTCCTGAGATCCTTTCCAACCCTGATATTCTATGATTCTATGATCCTCATCTCATCCTGGCTTCTGTCAGTTGGAGGTTTAGGGTTGCCCATTACATAGTGTTGCATCCCTGACCATTTTGACTAATAGCCATTGATGGATCTATCCTTCATGAAATTATCTAGTTCTTTTTTGAACCCAGTTATGTTTTTGGCCATCACGAAATCTCATAGCAAAGAGTTCCACAGGTTAGTTGTACATTTTGTGGAAAAAATATTTCCTCTTGTTTGTATTAAACCTGAGATATTAATTTCATTGGATGACTCCTAGTTTTTGTATTGTGGGAAAGGGAAAAATAACGCTTCTGTTCACTATATCCACACCATTCTTGATTTTATAGACCTCTATCATTTTGCCCCTTAATTGTCTCTTTTCTAAAAAGAAAAACCCTAATCTCTCCTTGTATGGAAGCTGTTCCATAGCCTTTAGCATCTTTTTGGACTTCTCTGAACCTTTTCCAGTTCCACTATATCCTTTTTGAGTAGGATACATTATTCAAGGTGTGGGGGAGGGGCACCATGGATTTATATAGTGGTATTATATTTTCTGTCTTATTTTCTACCCCTTTCCTAATAGTCCCTAACATTCTATTAGCCTTTTTGACCGCTGCTGCTCACTGAACTGAAATTTCGAGATAATTATCCAGGATGACACCAAGATCTTTCTTGAGTGGTAATAGCTAATTTAGAACCCACCATTACACATGTGTAGTTGGGATTATGTTTTCCAATATGCATTACTTTGCACTTATCACTGTTGAATTTCATCTGCCATTTTGTTGCCCAGTCACCCAGTTTAGTTAGATCCCCATTACTCTTCATAATCAGCTTTGTACTTAACTATCCTGAATAATTGTGTATCATCTGAAAACTTTGTCACATTACTGTTCACTCTCATTTCTTGACCATTAATGAATATGTTGAACAGCACAGGACCCAGTACAGATCTTGGGGGAACTCACTATTTACTTCTTGTGACAAAGTTCCTCCTCTACCTTGGTGGGTCTTGCGCTTATTGGCAGATTTGTTCGCCTTGGAGCTTCATGGCAGCCCTCAGTTTGGCTGTTTTCATGATCCCACAGTCCAGGTCAACTCCTCCTGTGTCTCACCAGGAGTTGGGAGGTTTGGGGGGAACCCGGGCCCGCCCTCTACTCCGGGTTCCAGCCCAGGGCCCTGTGGAATGCAGCTGTCTAGAGTGCCTCCTGGAACAACTGTGTGACAGCTACAACTCCCTGGGCTACTTCCCCATGGCCTCCTCCCAACACCTTCTTTATCCTCACCATAAGACCTTCCTCCTGGTGTTCATAATGCTTGTACACCTCAGTCCTCCAACAGTCCATGTTCTCACTCTCAGGTCCTAGTGCCTCTTGCTTCCAGCTTCTCACACGCACACCACAAACTGAAGTGAGCTCCTTTTTAAAACCCAGGTGCCCTGATTAGCCTGTCTTAATTGATTCTAGCAGCTTCTTGATTGGCTGCAGGTGTTCTAATCAGCCTGTCTGTCTTAATTGACTCCAGAAGGTTCCTGATTGTTCTGAAACCTTCCCTGTTACCTTACCCAGGGAAAAGGGACCTACTTAACCTGGGGC